GACTAAAAAAAAGAAACGTAAAGTTTTCTGCAAAACTCTGGACATTTAGATTACATATATTAATAGGGCAGTTTATATAAAAATTCAATAACAACAACTTCAATAATTAAAAAGATATTTTAACCAACTTTGCTTTCTTTGATGTTTCCCCCCCAACATTTATCATTTTTGTACATTTGTATATGTTGTATCCGACCCCTGTTTGATTACATTTGAACAATTTAACTAGTTAATTGTAATGTAATCTTCCCTAAATTTCCCTTTCGGCAACTTAAATCCTCTTTTGCTCTAGTAAAACACTACTAATTTCTGGCCCTGGTGCACGGACACGTCGCTGCAAAATAATTCAAGTGTTCATGCTGCAAAAATAATAGAGCTGATATTAATTCTGACCATGCTTTTGTGCATTCTCTCACATTGGTTAATAATAATCTATCTATCTTTGTCTATAAACAGTGACAGACAGAACAATTAAAAAAAAAATTCTAATGTGTCTTTCTTCAATTCCTGTATGAGCATTGTGTTCAACGAAACAGATCCAGGTTTCACTCTGTGCAAGTAAATTGTGAATAAGTTCAAACTAGCAAATCATTATATTTTATTACATTTGTGATATTTTTGTTTTGGTGGTGCTCTATGGCCCAATGTCTGTTGTAATACTTTCCTCTCTGTTTCATCGTGTCTTGTGTTTTTCCCCTCGGTATACACAAACACATGAACACCTCTTCCTAAAAGTGGATTTCCTGATAGTCTCTGTGTCAATTTAATTGAACACGTAGCAATAGTATCTCAGTTGGCCCACAGGGGTATTGGTTTTGTGAATGAAGTGGTCAAACTCCAGATGTCAGTATTGATATGGTCGAGACAAGAGGGCAGCGTTTAAAAGCCATCCTGCTCCTGCATGCTGTGTCATCCATTAAGCCCCTCTTCTCCTAACGCATAGGTAATGGCCTATCTGTACACCATAATAAGACACACTCTCTCTTTCTCTAACACACACATATACTGAATGTAAAAAGCCATCAAAATGAGACACAAACAAGGGCGCACACACACAGAGCCAGCCAACACATTGACACAGCTGCAGTCATTATTCACCCAAGGAGGTCGTGGGTGAAAAATGGAAAACGGAACTGGCAAACCACGTCTGAGGTGGCTGTGACAGAGGGCTCTGCATGTGTAACGAGTTCAGCAAACCCATCGGTCCAATTTATGGCACCCTGAGCCTCTGTTACGCCTTATGTGTTCTCAGTGTAATTTACCTTCATCTGCACCACTAAGCAGTTTCCATCATGCCATCCTGTCTTTTTTATGTAAATTACAAGAACACCAGGTTTGGATTGGTTCCTGCAGTTCTGGGGTTAACGGTGTCTGCTAGGTGATGACAGCAACTAAGGAGAGAGAGGGGAAAGCACAAACTAAAATAAAGCGGGAGGTCAAGGGTACTATTGTGTTTTAATGTATTGTGTTAAGATAAAGAGTAAAGAGTAAAAGATAGCTGAGACTGAGAGACCCTCTCTTAGTATCCCACCATGGGAGATCCCCCAGCAGTCCAGGCCTATAGCACCATAGGTAGATCTAGCTCATGTTCGTCTAAGCCAGAGGTTCTCAATTATTTTCCGTCATGCACCCGTAGGGATAGAAATCTTTTCACGCCCCCCCCCCCTCGACACACACACCCGCAAATTGAAATACTATTAAGAACCTGATTACATGTATATTTTTATCTGTACAAACCACTGTATGAGTTGCTGCCACCTAGTGACTGAAGGCTTGTTATCGTTCAATCGTTACAGCAGTGGTACACTTATGTCCAGGGTGCCATATTCCGTTGGAAGCCCCTCAGACCCCACCCCCCAGGAGGACCACCATTTGAGAAGTAGTGGTCTTAGCCAAGTCTACCTATGAAGATTATCAATGAGTAGTGTAAGTTACTACTCCAATTTCACTCTTGTACTCTCATGTGGGCCTTGGTTTTCGAGGTAAAGTGACCTATTAGGTTGTTAGTAGTTCCTGTTTGTACTTGATATTAGGTAAATAAGAAAGCTAGGTGTAATCTAAATGCTGAGATCAAATTTTAAAATTGTGGACAGTGGTTTAAATAGACATTTTAAAGCTGTAGTTAAACAGAGGTGTGTACTATTAGTTATTTATTCAATAAAAAAACTCAACTCAGCATTTCCTTGGTTCTGAACATTATTTGGGAACAAACCTTAAAGAGATATGAGTGGGCAAGTACGATCTAGTTTTGTAGTATCTACAGCTGAAATGTTTAGACATTTCAAGCCTGACAAATGTTCTGTAGGCTCCATGTACAAAAATGAATATAATATCTAAAATGGATCATTCAAAAAGTTCACTTTATTAAGTCAGACTAGGGCATCACCTGTGGTCGTTGTGTTCAATATTTGACATTTAGCATCCTGTACAGCACACCTGAAAAAAAGAAGCAAAGGTGAGGGGCAGCGCAAATACTGCTTTTGGTTGAAAATACGAAAAATGCTGACAACAAATGTCAAATGTCAGAATAGATTAAAGTCAGTTAGAAAACAACTAGCTGCTGCAAACTAAATCAAGTCACAAGCTACACACATAAAGTTGTTTCATAATGACATTTTTACAAATACATATTTATTGACTTTGATTGTGTACAGTATAATATTATATAATATAATGTGCATTATCTGATGCAAAAACAATAATTACAAACTATATTTGAAATATGGGATTACTGTCCAGAATCCCCAGGAAAAAAAAGACTCTAGAACAATAAATGGTTGAATATTTTGAAACAAAAGGGACAACAAACAGCAGCACCACATGTGGGGTTTTTCTGCGGCTCTAGCTTGAGTTTTGACCTGCAATAGCTCGGCCCCTTAGGCGTCTGGTTGACACGAGCCCATTAAGGAAAGGTAAATCCAATTAGGAGTCTCTCCAATACGAGTGCTGTGTGTCAGTGCTGCAGGGGCAACAGGCAATGTTATAGCGTCATTATGCTGCCTCTGTGACTCCAACACAGGATGAATGATTGGATAAGACTTTAACATGTGGCTTGAACCACTTATCTAGAAGCAGGTTTTGTTTCCTGTATGTAAAAGGAGGTCAGAGAGGATTAGTGTTGAATAGTAGTTTCTTTGACTTTAATCTATGGACCTTAAAATGAACGCTTTTATTTTTCTATTTCTTTTCCCAGCTCACGAGACAGGGACACGTGTACAGTTCATGAACACAGTTATTACACCACTTACAGTAATTGATGCAAATCATTGTTGGATGGCATAGAAAGGCTTTTTTCCCTTAAACCTGAAAGGCACAGTAAATTTTCTGCTGCATCCGGACACCAATCAAAGTTATCAGATATGACATTTGAAAAAAGCACAGGCTGCTCAGAAAACAAACAGCAAGAGAGACATGGAGTACAATCAGCCTTAAGCTCTGGAGTTATGGCATCAACATTTGACATGGAGGATTTAAGTTGAACAAAAGTAGAAATTTGTACAAATGAACTCTTGTGACACTGTAACTGTTCAACGTGAATGTAGGAGAAAAGCATTGATGTCCAATTACATATGAGAAAAGCATTGGAACAGCATGCTGTGTGATTAGTCATTCCACTTGGCAGCTGTATTTTGATCACAGTCATCACCACCCACAGATGCTCGTACTAACGGGGAGAGAGATAAAGAAAAAGAGCGCAATAGACAAAATGAAGTTTGAGGATGGAAAATGTGTTCATCTTAAAGTGTTGTAACCTCAGGAATACTCAGATAATCAGACTGTCATTACAGGGGTCCTCTTTAGCAGCTGTTGGCTGCAAATAGCTGGTCAAAGTGTTGTAAGACCATGAAAGAAGCAGTTTTCTTCAGTTCTCAAAGTGTATGTCCTTATATTTAACAATAACGTGATTGTATGCTGTGCTAGAAAAACCTAAAAAAAAGCTTGGAATGTCTGTTGAACAGTCTATAGTGCATTCATTTAGACATACCGTACATCTAGTTTTAAACTTCAATAGCATATACTGTATTTATGTAGGTTTTAATAGCATGCCTCATCAAACGTTGTGCGCAGATTGTTGATGGTGATAAGTGATGGCATAGCAACAATACACTCACCGTCTGCATACGTCCACAGACACTCATTTATTTTGGATGTGTTTGTCCAACAGTATTACAACTAATGACAATTATTTTCTGTTTCCGATGGTCTTCAACAACTATATGAGTCTGATGACCCTCACAAAGGTGAGCGGCATTGTTTGGTGATGAGAAACAGAGAGAAAAAAGCACACAGGGGAGTGAATAATAGCCCAGCTGGTTGCACTAGCTGCAATTAGTCCATCTTAAGTCCCACAATTATGCAGGGGAAAGCTGACACTCACAATGCCTCAATGATGCCCCTCAATCAATACATAATTGCAGTAATTATCATCCCGGTGTCATTTATGAATGCGTCTGACACTTCCAGTAAAGAAGATTGAACTGGGTAAACATGGGATGAATGATAGAGAGCTTCTGTCTCTTCAAGTGTGAAATGTCTAACAAAAGGTGTGCAGCCTTAATTCCTGGTATGAGCAACAATGGAGGTGGGTGAGTCAGCCGAAACTACTGTAAGTACAGACAGAAATAATCTGGCATTTTCTGTCTTGGCTACAATACAGCACAGCAGCATTATAGAGAGTGTATATCAGTCACACACCCCTCCAACAAGTAACAAAAAACAAAAGTCCAGTTAGATTAAACTTTCTTGAGATCTTTATGGTCTTAACACAAACAGAAGAATTTAATGGCATATTTAAATGGCTTAATTCATGTTTGACAACGTATGCAGGAGAAAAGACTGAGATAGAAGAGCCTGGGTGGGAGTAGGGTGGGTGAGCTGGGTGAGCTGAGGAGCGCTCGAGGCTGCGGTGGCTGTGGCGGCTGTGGCGGCGGCTGTGGCGGTGGCGAGTGGCTGTGGCTGTGGCTGTGGCGAGTGGCGGTGGCGAGTGGGCGCCGAAGAAGCTCAGAAGTTGCGTTGACCGGGAAGGGTAGAGATGCGTACATTTTTTGGACAACTAATATGTTGAAATCATAGAAAAGAACTTTGAGAGACCTGTTCCCGAAAAAACAGTATCTGTGTTGGTTCGGGTGTGTGTGTGTGTGTGTGTGTGCGTGCGTGCGTGTCCACAATCAAATCGAATTTCGTCAGGATCTGTAGAGATTGGATGGAACTGATAAAGTGATTTAATTTTCCACAGTTGACTTTTCTCAGCTCTAACCTTTATGTAAAGCCCTGCAGCGATAGAAGCTCTGATTATTGTCTTAGTCTGACTACAGTGGTTCCAGCTGGAAAAGAGAAAAACAAATGCCCGTGAAATGCCAATCATTTTAACATCACCAAAACCTACACATTTTAAAATGTATTTCCAACATATATAACATTTTATAACATATTTTCCGGATATTCCAGGCATTAAAAGTATTCCTCTGTAACAAATCCTCAACATCCACTGTAGTGAAGTCATTTAAACTTCAGTCATTTAAAGTGCATCAAACATGTGCCAAAGCAAAAATAGAAACGTCTAATGTTTCTCCTCTATGGTTAAACCACGTTTCAATCGCAAGGAATTGTTTGCTTCAAGGCAGAATGTATGTTGTGATAGATTCTGCTCATTGATTAATTGGAACAAGAGTCGCATGTTTGACGTCAGAAAGCGCAAATAAATAAGCCCATAAATAGAGAGAATCTACCAACGGAAAAGTCGGGAAAGGTCTACCCACACAGACAGCACAGCTTAATACATCCCCGAGAGCGCCACCACTCCTCCGTACCACGGTTCACACCAGAAAGGCTCATCATGCCACTGTCGACGAGCTCCACGTCCTCTACGAAGAGTATCCGCAGAGCAGCCTCGGAGCTGGAGAGGTCCGACTCCATCACGGTAAACCCACAGCTCTTAGATTATGGCAGAAATATGTATTTATAGTGTAATAGCTTCGTGATCACATGGCATTATTTTTGAATGATTATATATGCGGAACCAAAACTACAACTTTTGAGTTATGCGCTTTAGGAGTCGGTGACCATTACGCATCGGCTGCGCCAAGACAGCACAAACCTTCATGGAACCAAATGATGTGTCTATGTCTTCCGGTTCGGGTTCGATTGACCTGCTGATGTATATTCATTCAGTTATTCAGTGGTGTGAAGCAATAATTCCAAATGATATCCTAAGACATTTCAGAAGAGAGAAAGAAAAAAATGTTTTTGGTCTACTGTTGCGCCTCAGCAAAATGAGTCCACTTGAATAACATGTGCATCGCATTACCTCTTAGGATTAACTTTCATTTATTCTTCTTCCCAAACTAGTCTCCGAAATTCCTGGGTAGACGGCGCAGCTTGATTGACGACGCGCGTAAGGATCGGGAAGCGGCGGCAGCAGCGGCGGAGGCTGTCGAGTCCAGTGAGCGGATCGTGTTTGAGGAAGATGATGGAAAAGCGCTCCTCAACCTCTTCTTCACACTGAGGGTTTCCAAGACACCTGCGCTGTCGCGGACATTCAAGGTTTTTGAGGTACATCACTGCAGAGGCGCAAAAAGTGTTTTCCTGATCCATTTATAATGTTGGTGTGACAGGATCATTATTGGTCACGATCTGATTGTCTGGGTTTTAGTTGCAAACGACGTCAGTATTTTATTGAGTACATGAGGCCATCTGGTATTATTATTATTATTATTATATACATGAGGTATTGAGTACATCTGGTATTATTATTATTATTATTATTATTATTATTATTATTATTATTATATTTATGTATCAATTGTTTATTTAAAGTGGAATTCTCACTTGGTTTCGAATCAGTAGCCTATATTAAGAAACTTTTTTTTATACTTATAATATTTTTATGAACTTCTTAATTAAGCAAAGAATTGAAAAATCAAAACCAGTGTTTCCATCGGACGGGATTTCTCAAACTGTATTACAGATTTTACCAACACAGATGGCCGGATGGCCGGATGTGCGGTAAAAGTGTACTTACAGCATACGTCGCTTTAGATTTAATGTACCAAATGAATTGGTTTCAAAGTTTTCTAATTTTGTTTTTATGCAGTTATATATACTTAAATGTACACGCGCAAGCGCATTGTTAAAAAATTAAGAATTAACCTTCAAAGCGGCCGTATTAAAACAGACGCACAAGCCGCACCCTCACCTTTAGGACAAATGACAAATTATAGTTTAGCTTTAATGATTTAGTACTCAAATCACTAGTGTAATACTTTATGAAACATATATAGACTCTTTTAGGATCTATTGGGCCCACTTTACAGTTTGTGGATAAATACAACTTATACATTTTTGAAAAATATATATAGAAAACTATATATATTTTAAAACTGACTCTCCTCCACTGGTTCATTTTTGATCTCTAACATAGCTGTTTCTTTTTCACTGGTGACTTCCCATTGTGTTCACTGAATTCCAGACTTTTGAAGCAAAGATCCACCATTTGGAGACGCGGCCCTGCCGAAAGCTCAGAGACAACCTGGGGGGTCTAGAGTACTTTGTCCGCTGTGAGGTCCACCTGTCAGATGTCAGTACTCTCATCAGTTCCATTAAGAGAAATGCGGAGGATGTTAAAACCACCAAAGAAGTTAAATGTAACCCACTTTACACGTGCAAGTACTTTTATATGGACTTTTTTGAAGTGGTAAAGCTGCAGCTAACGTGATCTGTTTCCTCTTCATCCTTCAGTTCACTGGTTCCCAAAGAAAATAGCAGACTTGAACAAATGTCATCATCTGGTCACAAAATACGATCCGGACTTAGATCAAGACCATCCCGTGAGTACTATTCTTATTTGTGGTACATGAAGGATGGTCAAATAATACTATTTATTCTCCTGCTTGGTGCATTCATCCAGAAATGAGATCAGAGTTTTGTATATTTGATTTAAACAGGGCTTCACAGACCCAGTCTACAGACAGCGGAGGAGGATGATTTGTGACATCGCCTTCAGATATAAACAGTGAGATACAGGCTTTTGCCTCAGTACTGCATTATTATTATATTAACAACAGACAGACAAACGAAACACACAGCGAACTGAAACTTCATTACTCCTGCTCTTGACTTTCAGTGGGGAAGTGATTCCCAGAGTTGAATACACAGCAGAGGAGATCGGCACATGGTAAGAGCTAAAACACATGATGCATTTTAGAACTTTATATCTTGAATTAATTGGTGCTTAAAGAATAGATAGTAATAAATGACTCAACAGGGAATTAGTCACAAGATCCTTTTGATGCACTGTTTCCTTAAGTATCTCACATGGAATTACAAGGAGAAGCCTGATGCCTTGATCTAAAAAACAAAAAACAAAACAAAACAAAAAACCACAAAGGGCAAAAATGTTACATTTACACTCCCTAAATTTAAAAAAATCCAATAAGGAAAGTAACCCTCAGTAGTAAATCCTTTGAATGCATAGACACAATTAACATCTAAATAAAATCTAACAGTAGCAAAGGTTCTACAAATGGAGGCAAACATAATTTCCTGTCAGATTATCAAGAGTTACATTCAGGCATGTGAAAATATCTCGATGAAATGGGGGGACTGTACTGCATGTAGTTTCATCCTGACTCAGTCAACACTTCATTCATTCATTTTCAACCTCTAAAGCAGAAACTGCAGAGTATCTGTTGATTAGCCACTCTCTCATTCACACCTACGGCTCAGTCGAAAACAAGTATGAGAAAAAAGAGAAGACAGACCAGGGAGGTCATGTGATCTCTGCGTCATGCCACGACTTTGTTACCATGTGACCCACTTACGTCATCATGTGATGGTGTCGTATAAAAAGAAACAGTAATTGATGATTTTTTGAGGTTAAGCCCGGGATGTCTATTCTTATAATATTATTATGAACTGTATTATTAGTATTATAATATATTATATATTATTATAATATTATTAATACAGGTTCTGCTACTGTATGTATTAACAGGCGAGAAGTCTACTCCACCCTGAGAGACTTGTATACCACTCATGCGTGCAGCGAATACCTGGAAGCTCTTCGCCTGCTGGAGCGACACTGTGGGTACAGTCCACACAACATCCCACAGTTGGAGGACGTGTCAAACTTCCTCAGAGGTAAGGACGTGACACACAGGCAGTAAACCCAGAGATTCTCTTTTATCTGATGTTTCCTCGTGTTTTGTTACAAACACACAGAACATACAGGTTTCCTGTTGCGTCCAGTGGCCGGTTTGCTCTCAGCTAGGGACTTCCTGGCCAGTTTGGCATTCCGAGTTTTCCAGTGTACCCAGTACATTCGACATGCCTCCTCTCCTATGCACTCACCAGAACCGTGAGTATAAACCTGGGAACTATTTAACCCCTCACCCTCCTCTTCACTTAGATGAAAACACTCTGGTCTGTGACTCAGAACAAAACAGTGAAAAATTCAAACTACAGCCTGATGTTTGCATAGCTGTGGCCACCAGTGGAGCTGTTGTTGACAGTTGGTGTACTCACATGATGAGTGTAGTACGACTGAATGACTACAACTCAGGATATTACTAAATAGATTTTTGAGATGTGGCCCAAAACATTTTGGTGAGCTCACTTCAACCTTTGACCATCAGAATGTAATCAATTCATTTTTTGGGTTCAAGTGATTGTTTGTGAAAAAAAAATTCCCTCCAGGCATTTCTGGGATTTTGTGTTTACAAGAATGGACTGGGCGGATCACTTGAAAACACATTTCTGACTCTACGAACAGATGAAATTTATCTTTTCTGTCTGTCTTTCTTTCTTACTTTCTTTTTTTCTTTCTTGTTATATTCTTGACACGGTGTGTTTTATTTTTTCATCCGTTTTCAATCCTACCAGACTGAACTTTTTCTTATAATTCTGTGTTTTGTTTACCATATTTTTCTGTTCTAGTATTTCAAACCAAATTTCTATCTTTTTTTTGTCCTCCTACCTAGCGATTGTGTCCATGAACTCCTGGGCCACGTTCCAATGTTGGCCGATCGCACTTTTGCCCAGTTTTCCCAGGTAACTGCTTGATCTTCTTACGACCTTAGCGTAGCTTTTACGGTTTTAACTCACTGTTACACTTTATTCAGTTAATCTTATGTTTGCAGGACCTCGGTTTAGCATCACTCGGGGCTTCAGATGAGGATATTGAAAAATTGTCCACAGTAAGGTTCTATACCTAAATATACTAAACCCATCTAGAGACGTTGTTGCCTCTTAGGCAGCGGTATTAGCATTGTTAGTGGTTCCCAGCTAAATGCCAGTTAGAAACATAAGCCATATGTTATTGACTTCTTTAAACCCTAAAATTAACATCTGTATTCTAGAGTATAACATTATATCTGTGTGCTTTTACCTATAGTTGTACTGGTTCACCATCGAGTACGGCCTGTGTATGCAGAATGGTGAAATGAAGGTTTATGGCGCCGGGCTGCTCTCCTCTTATGGAGAACTTTTGGTGAGTTCCAGCTTTGTGCTTAATGTCAATTTCATTCAGTGGATAAGGAAATACAACCGTCACAGTGGAACAGCTCCTAAGTTAATTCTCCATCTTTTCTTTTCAATTCCATCCAGCACTCTCTGTCAGACGAACCAGAAACCAGGGCGTTTGAGCCAGAGGCTGCAGCAGTGCAGCCTTATCAAGACCAGACATACCAGCCTGTCTACTTTGTTTCTCAGAGTTTTTCAGATGCAAAGGAGAAGTTGAGGTAATTCGTTACAGAACAGCGGGAAAATGTAGAGAGACAGACGAGGAAAAGAGGAAAAACAATAAGCAGAAAGGGAAAGGGGTTATGTAAGGACAAGGTCGGAGAACAGCCAGCCAACCCTTAAGGCCACAAACTTTTGTAGGTCAGCCATAGCAGCCAGAAGACAGCTGTTACTAATGTAGTGTTTCTTACCGAGGCAAAATGCTGGGTTTTATTCGGCAAACACTTCAAATGTTGCCCTGCAAAACAAGTAGCGTGAGCGAGTGTTTTGACAATGTTTGGTTTCTAGTAGAATATAGCACAGATACTTGAAGAGAAAATATCAGGATAGGAATATTTGTGCAACCCTAGAGTATAAAACATGGGAATGAAAAGTATGAAAACTCTGTCGGGCCGGACCCGAATGCTTGAGTCTTTATATAAATCAGACTAAACCATAACTACAGGAACTGAGTTGTAGTTCAGTTTCACTCAGTTAGAGGGAGGTTTGTTGCTCCCGGGTGAACGATAAGGGTTTACAAATGGCAGACGGAATTGTTGTAATGCATTCATTCATGAAGAGTTAAGACGCTAGGTCACCTCAGAGCTCATGGTTACACAATCGTAATCTTCATTTCTTTCTTCAGAACATATGTGGCCGGTATTAAACGTCCATTCTCTGTGAGGTTCGACCCATACACCAGCAGTATCGAGGTTATGGACAATCCACTGAAGATCCAAGGCGCCCTGGAGGGAGTGAAGGACGAATTAAAGATGCTGTCAGATGCCCTCAGTGTATTGTCTTGATAACGCCCCCATGTGGCCACCACGCTTGTTTGTTTTTCTGCTGTGCTCTGCTATGTACACCTGATGTTTAAAAATGGGTGTGTTCATCTGTATGTACTATGTGGATGATGTGATGCTGCTGCTTCGTGTCACTGGATGTTTAGCAACCAAGGTTACAACCATTACAGCCTCAATGCAGTAAAGGCACAGTTCCCAAAGACGTTTAATACCTCACTAAGTCAATCGTTTGTTCAGTGATGGGGGTTTTACAGAGCGGAACAATTAGCATAAAACAAATGAATGAAAACAAGACATGTCTAAATCTTAACTTAAATCACAGAAAATTGTGATTTGAATGTATTAAAACTAAAATATTGTTTATTCTATTGTTAGTTAAACAAAGGGTTGTAATGGATTAATAATATAATGATAATAATAATGTGACAGAGACTTTATTGCCCATATACAGTATTTTAGTTTCAGCTCTGCTAATTCACTGGGATCTGTGCTACTTTACTTTGCAATAGAGACAACTTATATTAAAAATATAGAAATATTTGTTTCATGCTATTAACTGTGACTTACTGTTCCAGTAAAATGAGTCATAAAATAAAGAATTGCAAAATAGTAACTTTGCATTTGGTGTTTGTTTTTTAAGCTCGACAACTAGTGGGGAGAAAACATTGTCGTTTGTTGTCGGTATTTTGCCACAAGAGGGGGCACTTCAGCCTATTCAATCATTCAGTTCTTATTGAGAATAGAAAATAAACACATCTTTTGTAATGCGAAAACAATGTGTGAAAACAAAAGTACACCTAACTTCAAATGTAAATGGGAGAACACGATTTAAGGTAGAAAAACACTGCAGGCCAAATCAGCAGTGTGTATGCTTCTGCCATTACTGTCATCTATCAGTTGATACAATGCCTAAACACTGTGACTATCCATTGGAGTGAGATTTTTTTTTATAATGAAAATGTTTTTTTAGATTAACTTTTGTCAGAATAGTCCTTTAAAAGATTTTTTCACACTACAAACAAACTCTATGCTTGTGTGGTTTTCAAACTATACATCTTTCAGCTGTAGAATTCCCTCTGCCTGTGATGTCACATGACATTGTAGGTCTCCCCACAACACAAATATTAATGTATCATGTATTCAGTTATACAGTACCTTAAATATTAAGTGAACAACTACACAGCGACCACCGTACATCATGTTCATGTTCTTTGTCTACAGTTTGATGTTTGTCCACAGGGACCGTTTTGGTCCATTAGATTGAACTAAAACATCAACAATAGACCCTGTCACCCTGCTCATATTAAGGCTTTTTAAATTGTGGTTAGACTCCCCTTATCAGTACAGTTTTTCAGAGACTTTACACTGACCAAGATTGAAACCTTCCCCTTAAGGCAGGGGTCTCAAACTCACTTCTGGCCCACAAACCTCCTACCATCCAACCTCTGACTAAATGTTCCTTCTAATTCAATTTCAACCCTGAGATGACTTATTTATGTATTTTTAATACTTGTATTAGTTGGCTAGTTGTCTAGATTTGTGGTTTTTCTACTTTCTACACATATTTAGTGTTTTTGTATTAAACAACAGACACTGGTGTGGCCCTCTAATGAAATGACGGTGGCAGCAGTGGCCCTGGCTGAAAACAATAACAGATAATTATATAAATATCAAGTTTCTGCTACAAACTTGCCTAAGACTAAACATGCTTTCTGGGACATGACAGAGTTGTTAAATGCTACGTTTACCAGGAACAAGCCTGAGGGACTTTGTCTGGACATACCTCCTGCATGAGGCTGTGATTTAGATCCTGGACCGACAGTCTCCAGCACAGACTGACTCCTAGCAGTCACTTCTCCAAACTGTGAAAGCTGAGATAAACAAATAGAGGTTCACCACAAGGACCACTAGGTGTCAGACTGAGTCTGACGACATGTCCAGGCCCTTCTTTTTGCAGGAAGAAACTTATCTAAAGGGGCAGGTTTAAAATGGAAACATGAACGCACTTTGCCCTATGTTCAAACACATTTGGAAGCTAAATCTGAGGACCTTATTTTTTATGACCAGATACTAAAATTAACATCTGGACAGAGGTCGCTGTCTACCACCTACAAAGTGTGTGGACCATGACTAAACCCGGGACGTAAAGGACGTTGTTGTGTGTATATATAGATTTTGGTGCCAGTCAGATCAGAAGAGTCACTGCTGCATCATCGTGTGTCAGCCCCACTCTCACATTTGACCCCGGTGACTTCATCGGCACCTGATTCAGAGGGAAGCCGCACAGCCCGGGCCACATTGGCTTCCACTCTGGCCGTTAATCTTAATTACAGCGTTGACATTGACGTTCGTCTCGGAGTCTGAGGACTTCTGCGTCTCCCCTTGTTCCGTCTGCGTCCTGTGCGTAAACGTTGTGGTGGTAGGTTATAGTGCGTAAACGTGGAAAATACCTAAGGAATTGCACCATTTTGTGACACTCTCTTCCCTCTCCTTTCTCCCTTTCCCTCCCGTTTAAGCACTTTTCCATAAAACGTCTGTGGACCCTATTTAAATAATAATAAAAAAAAAACAACCGTGAAGAAGAAGAGGAGGAGCGAGGGGTGGGGTGTGGGTGAAGGGGCGTGTTTTGGTATATAATACTTCTCACTCAGAAGTTTTGCCTGTCGCCTGATCTTTGGGACAGCCTGTCACACATCATCTCTAATATCCTCAGTAACTGGGAAACTAACTCACCTGCAACCTCTCCTCCGACCAAACAACTCCCGCCCTCATCGCTTTGACTACTGCCATATGACATGGAAACCCAGCAGAAACACGGACAGCGCTTACTTTGCCACACCTGCCGGAGAATGGAGAGCAGCAGAATGAAGGTAAAGCGCAGACGGAGGGATGCCTTGACACTGTAACCGTAGCTTCCGTTATGGCGTTGTATGTTCAGGCCCGTGCATTGCTGTTTCGTACTGTGGCGCCGATCTCTCCTTTTTTGTGTGTGCGACACGATCAGTGAAATCTCCGAATGTGCATGCAGCGGGGAAAGTTAACAATGCACGCTTGAAAGACACGGCCGGGGCTCTTGAGGCTTTTGCGCAACAGGTTTCGGGGGGTGTTTTGTTCTTGTGAGACTGTCCTGGATGGAGTATCGGTGCGCCGGACTCGCAGCAAACAGCTGGGCTGTGTGCCGGCAGATAGGGGGCGGTAGGTCTCAGGGTCAGTGAGCTCGCTGCAGGGTGAGCGAGGGGAAATTTATGCTGAGTCTGGCATTTTAGATAGTTTACTATCGAGCAGCCGTTCTTGCAGCTTGTGCAAAGTTGTGTAAGAGTGTGAAGACAGAAATACCGTCGACTTTTTTTCTCCTGCAGAATAAGCACTTACGTCTCAGGTGCGACGTAGTGACAGCTGGAGACCTGTGTCCACAGAGGACTGCTCATATGACATCAGTTGTGTCTCGTGTTAGGGACGTTCGCTGAGTTAGTAGGTCAATACATAAACGCCTGCGTTCAACGCCGCGAGTGCGTCGTCCTGTGTGCACACAGGCAACATCTGGCTGTCGTCTGAGAATTTCTGGGGAACATTTTATGTCAGCGCTGGTGAAGTGGGTGGTTGCATTTGTTCAGCTTTGGCAACACGTGTGAATAAGTCTGAGTCTCTCTCTGTGTGTGTGTTTCGCCTGCAGGTCAAGATGTTCTCGTCCAGTCCTTCGCTGCTGTTCGCACTGGCCCTGACGCTGTACGCGCTGGAAATGGCCTCGGCGGAGACGCTGTGTGGAGGAGAGCTGGTGGATGCGCTGCAGTTTGTCTGTGAAGACAGAGGCTTTTATTTCAGTAAGTCCCAACGCTCACAGGCTTCCACAACGGGCTGCAAAAATATGTGTGTTTTGTGAATATCTCTGTTGTTCATGCATCTCATTGGATAGTTGATACTCTCGCTCTTGTCTGTGGCTGCGTGGTATGTGTGCCTGGTGTTTTTCTTTTCTCTTTCTTTCTTTCGCTCACTCTAAAACACACACACACAGTCTCTCTCTCTCTGGGTACTCTGGGTGAGATTACAGCCAGCTGTGTTTCCCCAGACCTCGTCCTGGCTGCTCTGCTGAGCGCACGCATTCTGCCTACAGCTCATACCTCTCATTGCATATGAAAGACCGTCGAACTGTGTGAAGGCACACACGACTCAGCGCGACACAATGGGCCGCTTGTTTACCAGTAAAGTAATAGCACCCCAAGAGGCATACCAGTCACCTCAGCACCAGTGTTCCCAGGCCAGGCGTCCACACTGATGAGAGGGAGGGGGATGGAGGGAGGGGGCGGGGGGAGAGTG